AGGCGTCCTTAGGACATGCCCGATTGAGATCAGTATAGTTAACACACATGCGCCATTTTCCATTATTCTTTTTAACAAGTACAACATTGGACAGCCAGGTTGAATACCGGGCTTCCGAAATAAATTTTGCCTCTAGGAGGTCTTTTACATCTTTTTCGGCTGCAGCCGATTTTTTGGGGGACTGGCGACGCCGGCATTGCACAACGGCCTTTGCGGTCGGGTTGATGGACAACTGGTGGCAGGCGACCTCGGGGTCGAGTCCGGGCATTTCTGCGGCGCTCCAGACGAAGAGGTCGGCGTTCTCGCGGAGGCAGGCTTGGAGCTGTCGTTTTGCGAGGTCTGGGAGTCCGACACCTATCCTCACGGTTCTGCTCGCGTCTTCCCCCAGAGGGATGAGTTCGAATTCTCCGTCCGGGATGGGGCGTGCCGGGTGTGAGGGCTGCCCGTTGACTTCGCTGGTCTTTGTTTCGTGGTCGAGCTCGTCGGTGAAGCGACTGTCGAGTTCCACGGCTCCGACTAGCTTCGTTGGTTCGCCTTTTGGTGTTGCGTTCGGTGTTTCCCTCTTGGTCGCTGGAGTGATGGAGTCTAGGCATTTCAGCGCGGCCTCGAAACACCTTCGGGCGGCCTCGATGTCTCCGTTAAGGGTCACCACGGCCCCTCGTCTGATGTAGTATTTCATCTTCAGGTGGACGGTGGAGGGTACCGCGGTGAGCTCTGCTATCGTTGTCCTGCCCAGGATGCAGTTATAGAGGGATGGGCATTCGATGACTAAGAAACGGATGTTGATTTCCCTAGCTGTCTCCTCTTCTCCGAAGGTGACTTTCAGTTCCACGTATCCCCAAGGCCTCGTCGTCGTCCCGTTGAACCCCTGAAGGTCGGAGCCTACGTAGGGGGAAAGGTTGGATTCGTCGAGCTGGAGAGTTGTGAACAGGTGTGAGTACATGATGTCAACCGAGCTTCCGACGTCGACGAGGAGGCGTCTGACGTTGAAGTTCGCCATCCGTGCACGTATGAGCAGGGGTATGTTGGAGTTGGGGGATCCCCCAGGGAGTTCCTCGAGGTAAAATGTGATCGGATTGGATCTGCCTTGGAATCTCTCGAGCGTGCTCATTTTGCCGGAGTTGTTCGCGATGAGTTCGTCGAATTTTCTCTTCACGGATCCTATGGAATGGCTCCTCGTGGCTCCATCAGAGATGACCATGGCCCTGGGGAAGTACTCCCACCGGCTGGTTGGTCGGATTGGCTCGTCGATTAGGTCGGGTCCTTCGGGGAGACCAAATTCTTTGCCCGCGAACCAATCCTCGGGGCGGCTGACACACAGCGCGACCTGGAGCCTGTTGTCGTCCTTTAGAGAGGGGAGTTCCTCGACTTTCTTGGCTTCTGGAGCCTCTTGCCTCGGTGGTTCTCCTCCCCGGGTGTATCTCTTCAGGTGACCGTCTTTGATCAAAATTTCGATCGCGTCTTTGAGATGGATGCAGTCTTCTGTCACGTGCTCGTGGCTCCTATGGAATCGGCAGTATTTCGGTTTGTTCATGTTGGGCTTGGGGGGTGTTGGTCGCGGAAAACGGACACCTCCCTGCACGAATTTAGTTTTGGCACATTCGGCCAGTATGCGCTCGCGTGAGGCGACTAAGGCCGTGTACTCTGTGAATATGCCGGTCGGGCCGCGCGGTTCGCGTTGTTCGCGGGGCTCGCGGGGGCGGTCTTCTCGACGGCGGTCTCCTCCTCGTCGATGGCTCGAGGCCCCGTCGTCTCGGTGCCCGCGGGGGGCTTCCCGGTCTCGGGTGTCTCGAGCAGAGTTGGCCGCTTGTGTCTCTTCGAATCGGATGTAATGCGCGGCTCTGTCGAGGAAATCTTGGAGGGATGTTGGCTGGTGTATGCCTACGGCCTCGTAGAACTTGGAGTCGTGGCGCAGACCTTGTTCCATTAAGTAGCGTTTCATCTCGTCTGACGTCGTCACCTGTACTGCTTCCCGAGTGAACCTTTCGATGTACTTTCGGAGGGGTTCGTCGGGGCCCTGGATGATCGCCCCGAGGACTGCTTCCGTCTTCGGGTGGCGTCGGGACGCCGTAAAGTGTTTGGAGAACAGGTCCTTCAAGACCCTCCATGATGTAACTGATTCGGGCTCCAGACTTTTATACCAGGTCATAGCGCCTTTCCTCAGAGTCGTCGGGAAGAGTCTGCACTTGATAGCTCCCCGGACGTTTCGGTAGTCGAGCATGGCCTCGATGTCTTCCAGGTGATCGTCCGGGTCGGAGGTGCCGTCGTATGTCGACAGCGTCGGTGGTTTCTCCATCCCTTGGGGTATGGGGGCAGCCATGATTTCTCGGGACAGCGGGGTGCGGTAATCGTCCTCGTCGCTGGGCGCCGGGGATCGATGGGGAGATGAGCCGTTCAAGGTAGGGCCCTGGTTTCGGGTTCTCGACCTCCTGCCTGAGTTCTCGCCTCGGGGGTCTTCGGTCGGGATCGCCGTGGTGCTTTGGTTCCTCCCGCGAACTTGTCTTGCTGGGGACCTGGTGCGTTCTCGCGCTACCTGCGCACGGTGTCTCTCCAGTCGTGGTCGGCGATTTCTGGGTCGAGGTGAGGGACTCCTTGAGCCTCCGTTCTGGTCGTCCCGCGGGGGGTACCTCGGAGGGTCGATGCGTTCCAATGCTCCAATTCTCGCGTTTTGCTGGGCCAACAGCTGGTTCGTCTGGTTGATGGCCGCGAAGAGGGCGGCCACCGTCGGGTCCGCTCCCGCCGGGATGGGAACGGGTTGGAATGCTGGCGGACCTGGGGGCCGGTGATCGGCCTGAAGGGGCCGTTCTGCGGATGACGGCGAGGCAGTTTGGCCGTCCCTCTCATCGGTTTCCGCCGGACGCGTCGTTTCCATCTGCTTGCTTCCGTTGGTGCCGACGTTGAGTGCGAGGTCGTGCGGAGTGCCGTCGCGGTGTGGGCTAGCCATGATCGTGGAGTATTGGTGAAACTTTGGTTTTCTGCTCGGAGTAACGAGGAAGTTTCTGTTCCCACAGACGGCGCCACTGATCTGACCTGATCAGAAGGGGATCACTGGCTGGCCACACTCAGTTGGACTGCTGCTTGCTCGCCGGAGGTGAGGAAGAGAAGGGGGGGTATACCTGCAAAACACTCTGATGCCAAAGTGAGAAGTTGGGCAGAGCGATGGCGAAGTACAGAAAAGGGGTAAAAAGATGCGTTACCTGACCCTCTTGAGGAATAAGGTATTTATAGAGAGACTCCAACGCTGGGCCAACGGTCATTTGAGCTGGACTGGATGACCAGGCCCAACCCTAATGACTGCTAGGGCTTACGTGGCGTAGTGAAGACCAGGACGTGGTCTTCGCCCTAGTCCAACCGCTCCTAGATCTCTGGAAAGTGGGTTTGACCTGCTCTTTCGGAGGTGGGCGGTTGGTTGATGACGTGTCCCAGCGGAGGGGAGCACGTGGAGAACGTGCGCCGAGCACGTTGTCCTCCCCGCGGAGGGGAGCTCGCGAGGTTGGGGAGGACCCACGGTCTTGCTTCGATGCGCTGGGCAGTGTCCTGTTCGGCCGATAAGAGGGAATGACGAGCTGATGGGGGACGCGTCGCCTGTGTCCGGTGGCGTGTTCTGCCCGTCCGGCGGGACGCGCGTGCCCGGCGTGGCCAATTTACCTATTGGGCCAAGCGTAATATTGGGCTGGGCCGAGGTCGGGCCCAGATCAGAACAAAATATATATATATATATATATATATATATATATATATATATATATATATATATATATATATATATATATATATATATATATATATATATATATATATATATATATATATATATATATATATATATATATATATATATATATATATATATATATATATATATATATATATATATATATATATATATATATATATATATATATATATATATATATATATATATATATATATATATATATATATATATATATATATATTAAATTGTAATGAGCTTTTGAGATGAAAAAAAATTATTTAAATTTTTAGAATTGATTTTCCGTTAAAATTTATTTTTCATTGATAATAAAACCATCATGTTTAAATAATCTACTCAATATATTTTCAAAAATTATTTAAACTAACTAATACAAAATTTAAACAAATGTTGTTATTTAATCATGCATTATAAAATAATTTAAAAATAATTGGTTTTTTTTTTTATAGAAACAGTTAGGTTCTATTAAATAAATAAAAAAGTTAAGGTCTTCGTTGCCTACTCCTAAGACTCGACTGATACACATGTGCATTTTTTTATTACCAATAACTATACACGGTTGCAACAAGATGATCTTTAAATATGACATTATGTTTAATAATAATGGTTGATGTGTTTTTATGGTGACAACAATATGATTTTCAGTGAATTGAATTTGTTAAAGAAAACATACAATTTTTTATTAATTAGTTGACTACGGTGATCGTTCATAACGACGAGAGCATAATGCTAATATGAGACTCTATATTTTTTTATAATATTGAAGATATGTTTTATTTTTTATGAAGTTTTTAATTTTTCATTTACATTGGAGTATTAAAGAAAAAACGGACAATTTTTGATATAATTTTTAAATGTTTTCATTTTTATTTCTCAAAAATTGGATTAGAAAAAGGAAAATAAAAATATATATTTTTATTTTTTTTTAAATGTTATATTTTCTCTTTCATATGTTTTAATTGTTGGATTAATTAAATAATTTAGAATTATACATAAGAGAGAGCCTGAGAGAAAAAATTGGAGATGATACAATTCCATAACAAGGTAATGGCAATGTATGTAGCAAACAATTGTTATTTATATAGATTAATGACCAATCAATATAGAATTACATATACATAGAAGCTCCCTTAGGTTCAACATTGAATAATTACGTAGTTCAAATGATATAAAGGAGACAATAACAAATAGTTTATGATACAAATACATACAAGAAGAAATAATTTATGCTAAAGTAGTAATATTATACAGTATACATGAATATTCAAATGTCACCGTCTCTTTTGCATTCAGAGGGAATTTGAGGCAAACGTTTTCGGTCAGTGCAGTAATTGTAAATGGTGTATTTGTCTCTCACCCACTTTAAGCTACGCCATTGAGCTGCATCAAGATCACGAAACTCTGCTTGATCCCACCATCTCTTTCCTTGTGTTCCACAGAATTTTGAGTTAACTGATGCTTCACATCCATCTATGTGGAAACTTTTGTATCCTGCTATGAATGGTGCTTTTGACCAATCTGTTTTCTCTAATCCACCCCTTGTTGCCCAATCATCAGCATTCCATAAACTGTTGTATATCTTCATTGGTTGGTCAAATGGGAATTTCACTCCTAAATCCTTGCTGTTTTTGAACACTCTTATTGGAACATCATCCACATAGAAACTGCAAGCAAATCAATCATAGGTTAAGCAAGATTGTTTTAGATTATAGGACTATTACAATAGTTGAGTCAAGTGGCTGCTTACACAATCTGGTACATGTTCCATAGAATGGAGTATCTGTGAAATTCTTTTGTAGGATCAAACCAGAGATAGATCCTTTGTTCTTTGTTACCTTGTCCACCAGTGAACACGTTTGTTTGCAAAATGTAAGGTTGTCCTGTTCTGTTCCCCAAGAACTCAAAATCTATCTCATCATGCTCAGCATTTTGTGAAGATAACTGCATGAACAGTAGTTCCATTCACAACAAAGGTCACTTCATTACGATAAAATAGTAAAAATAAAAACATAAAACTATAATTTTATGTGCATACATAGAAAGCGGTAACTGTTCCAGCCGAATCACCAGGAACCATCTTAATGTTCATACTGAAATGACCAAACAAGTATGATCCTTTGGACTGAAAACCAGTACCTGTTTAAAAAATTAGTTAGATAAATAAACAGTGTGATAGAAAGTTTAAAACTACTATATAAGGAAGAACAATAATAGTACTAACCAGTGGACTTATCAAGATGAAGCTGAATTTCAGAACCACCATTGAAGTATTTGATGTGATCAAAAGCCCAAGTAGGGTAATAGTTTCTGCCAAATGGAACATCCACGGGCTTCCTTGGAAGAGCACAGAATGAAGAAGAAACAAGTGATGCTAGAATCAAACACACAGTCCAGAATGAAGAATCCATGTTGTGTGTTGTTGTGTTCAACTTTGTGGCAAAGACTTGGGTATATATAAGCCTAAGACCCTTGGCAGTTGGCATAGAAAGTTATAGACCCATGTTCCTCTCTCTTTCATTATTTATGTATCTTGTTCTTATTTATTATATTCTTGGAGGGTGGGAGGCAAAGGATCATGCATTAGGCTTTGTTAGGATTTTAGCCTTGTAACCAACTGATAATGGGACCCTATTACGCGCTTATTATGTATTGTTAACTTCTATATAGCTAATCATCCATCATTTCCCAATTAAAATGCGAATACTTAGAAATATATAAACATTTTAGTGCTGGAAATTGTAACCATCAATCAATTTAATCCATCCAATAGAATAGTTTAATCATCTATACTTGAAAAACATCAATCGATTAAATCATCATTTTAAAATTACATAAATTTGAGTGCTAACATGGATATTAATAAGACAGTAAAAGAAAGACAAGGTGTTAATAGAATCACTTATATGGTTCATATGACTTTCAAAGATGTTGTAATATTAAGTGACAATGATGTGAATCATTCAAGTATTAAAGTCATTTCAGCAGGAAGAAAAAGAGTGGACAAGTCGTGAAGTTACTTTCACGGAAATATAGAAAGAAGAGAGGTTTATAGTTAGGAGGAAATAAAATGAAGAGTCTTGATATTTACTTTTGTTTTTGTTCGTGTATTTACGGTAATGGAATAGGAGAGTCATTTTTAATGTACGCACTCAAACTCTAGAATGAATCCAAATACTCTTAGTGAGAAAGATAGGAACTTACCTATAAACTTAGTAATTGAAGAACAAAATTTTCAATCAAAACAAGAGTTATACTCTAAAAAAAATTAAGAACAAAATACAATTAAGAATGAGAAATAATACAAATTTTAATGAATTAAACAAAATAGTCATCTCCTCACTAAGAGTATAAATGCATGACAACCTCTCGTGATTAAGGGTTATTAAAATTGTTATAGTATTGAGAGATAGTTCACGTGAGGTGAGAAACGTGCGTGTTAATTATGCGTTCTCCATTTAAGTATCACAATATTGATGTGTTTATAGTCTCAACGGTCTAAAACCGAGTCTTCCTAGATTGTAGCAACTACTCTAGGAATGACTGTGTGATTCCCTGTTATATAAGAAGAAGTTAAATTCCACGACTTCCTATGTAACGTTTGTTGACCCAGTACGCGCTCTACACACGATCACGCAGTATGGACGAAGATATTTGAAGTTTGGGCGACAAACATGAAAAAGGGGCATCGTATTCGAAAAGGGGGAGCTTGAACCAATAAAAGGGCGACTTGAAGATGTCGATGGACTAAAAATGTACCTTTTGCCTCGTACAGGCTGAAATGTTTTAATCCCTGACTCATCTTCGGGTTTTCCTTTAGATCTTAGTCGAAGCTTTATTCTTGCCTTTAGTTCTCGTAGTATCAGATGATCCTTCTAGACGATGATAAATTGAATCCATTGGGCAATTGAGCCTTCCTGACGATACTTAGTTGAGTCCCTTAGGTGAGACTTAATCGAGTCTTTTAGGCAAGACTTAGTTGCATCTACTTGACGATACTTAGTCGTGCCCCTCAGGTGAGACTTAGTTAAGTCCCTCGGGAGAGACTTAGTTGAGTCCCTCTATAGAGACTTCTAATGTGAGGCATCACCATTGTGTGGTTGGATCCATGGTGTACTCCTTAGTGTTTGTAATGCAACCCACACGTGAATTGTAAAAGTTTAGATGTCAATCAACTGAAAGAAATTAAACATCAGTCAACTGAGAGAGTTTGAATCATCAATTATGGTATGTTTTACATTAAATGCACTTGATGATGATATTTCTTGGGAAGCCAAATTTGGCCTTCCTCCCTACAATTGTATCAAATACAAGGGATATTTCCCATTGTTTGTAACAATTAGGACACTCATATGATGAAAGGGGTAATACAACTAGACTTCATTCCTTTTAAAAGCCTACACCTTTTCCACTAATCTCTTCTTTTCGCTCAAGCTTTTATTCATATAACCAAAAGTTTGCATGGATGAAAATCGTATTTTTCATGCTCTTGATTATAGTTACATATAACTTTTTTCCCTTTATGTTCTCGATTTTCCTCTTGAATTCCCATAAGGAGCAATTGCGCTTTTAATATCATAGGATGAGATCCAAATGATTTGATAATAACATTCATGTTCTTATTGTTCTTATTAAGAGATAATGGGAAGGATATTGATAAACACATCAACGTGTAGGACTTCGCATCCTTGTATTCAAACAGGAAAGAATAATGGCATCTCAGCTTCAAATTGTTCTTTCTAGTATATGACACGAGGAAGACATAATATTGGAGACTTGTTTTAAAAGTGAGATAGCTAACATGGCTGCTGTAGATGTTTTACTGACTCCCTATTTTTATTTCCATATTTCTGTTATTTACGATATAATAGTCTTAATCCCCTTCACACCGTTCAAAGCCAAATTTTTGATGACTGCCAATTTCGCCCTTTCTAAATCACGACCAATAATTATGGTATTATCAGAGCTTTAAGACTTTGCGCCTCTAGCTGGAGGTTGCTTCCCTTATTGAGGTATTCTTTTCTTTCTACAATGTCATACCTACCCCTGCAAGTGGTTGGGTTACTTTATTTAGTCTTTCATGGAAGAAGTTATTGACGCCCTACTATAAAACTACCTTAATTGGAAGGATAAGTTCATGAGAGTCATGGGCGAGATAGCACTTTGATGATTATGATTGGGGTCACATGTTCCAGTGTCTTAGATGAGTGATCAGAAGATCCATCATGCTTTATCTCTAGAAGATATCACCCCCTTTTAGTGGGTGGTGGTTCAGGAATTGTCAGGCTTCAAGTTTATGTGTTCTTGTACTTTGATATCCTCGAATCTAGGGGACGACAACAAGATAGACGAATATTTATGTGAGTTAGTTACTAGATAACATTCTTGTTTAAGGATCATTTTTGAGACTTTTAAAAAAAATTGTTTTCCTCTCTATCCTTTGTGCAGGAACAATGTCGAAGGATCCCTTAGTTGAGATAAAGGAACACATGGTGAGGAGGAGGGTTGAACGTCAACTCCCCTTGTTCTCCATAACCGCCTAACAGACCAAATTTTAAGTGAGAGCATGAAGTGTATTGAGGATCACCTTGTCATTGATAAAACTCCATCCAAAATTCTTAAACTGGGAGAAGGATATTCTCGTGCTTTTAGGGGTGGACTATTATTTGATACTCAAGAGGGTACAAAAGAACGAGATACCTGACTTATTTGGGATGGTTCACGCTCTTTCTCATTCCTCTAGAGGGACACTTTATTTAATGCCATCAAATTTATTGACACTCATTTCCCCCTCCCTGAAGATTTCCTCTTAGATTACCATACCCTTCATAATATATTGTCCCAAGAATTCTCCAACGTGGCAGAGGCGCACATGTTAAATATTATCGTGATTAAAAGGGTTCAATGGGAGAAATATGCTAAAATAGTTGATGTCTTTAAGTCTAAGCTATCCACAACCAATAACCATTAAGGGCCTTAGTTTAGGAGAGAGACACATTGAAAACCTTACTTAAAACAATGGCTTTAGATGCGCCAACTAACATAACTTCTGCCACCGTACTAAAGGACTATTTGAATGAGACCCTTAGTTCTCTAAAGAAGATTGAGGAGGAAATATCTATCATCAAAGATGACTTGTTTGAGATTTCTAATCTATAATTTAAATGGGGAAATGAGCAAGTAGCCTTCCTTTATTCGAAAATGGACTTAAGCCGGGTGGGTTTATCTAAGGTGGTCTGGGGACGTCAACTAGTGGATGATGAGTATATCATTCTTGATGATGAAATCTTAACAAATGGATATCAGGTAGACGATACCCTTTGCTTTAGTGATCCCTTAAAGTACTAATGATTTCAAGGCTTAACATGTGATGCCTTTGTTAGGGTTTTGCTATTATCTTGTTTTGATATTTTTGTAACATGTGGCCCTCATTTGGTTCTTTAAGAAATAGTAGGGTCTTACTTTTGTCTATGTACACTATCTTGTAATGTGTCTTTAAATGTTAATATATGGGGGCGATGGTTCCCTCTGGAGATTCCCTTATTATTATATGGATGTTAGAAGGTTCCCCTGAAGGACTATAATTGCTTCCAGATGACGTGCAGGCTCTCCTTTGTGAATATTTAATACAATTGCCTCGAGGGAGGCAAGGATTCCCTCATGAGGACCCAACATATAATCACTTCGAGGGGCGAAAAGGATTCCTTCATGAGGATCCGACATGTAATTGACTCGTAGAGAGGCAAAGATTCCTTCATGAGGATTCAATATGTAATCGCCTCATATAATCGCCTCATGTAATCACCTCAAGGGGTGGCAATGATTCCTGCATGCGGATCAATTATGTAATCTCCTTGAGGGGCAATTTTGATAACATTATCTTGCTCTGTGACAACCTACATACAAATCATCAATAATCCAAAAAGTTACATAAAGTGAGGGGCTCATTAACAAACATGTGCTACTTCAATTACACCTGAAAAGAGTTCCTTCACAAAAATGTCATTGTCCATATAAAAATAGTCGGGAATATAATTTGCTTAAAATAAACCTCAAATTTTTTAAACTAAATTAGTCCCGTCAATTTTGGTCGGGAAGCCTTTATCCCCACGTTTCACATTCACCTCTTCTAGAACAATGAAGTATTCTTCTTTTGGAACTTCTTCCTGCAGTTTTTTCTTCGCATCTATGACGTTCATGCCTACTATATTGACTTTATTCAACTTCAAGATTTCCACATAGCATTTCCTGGTACCCTTGGGTAATACCTATTCGTCCATCTAAGACATGTACTTAATTTATAGATACGAGGTTGATAGGGTAACCTCTAACTAGTTCAAGACAGGTTGCCCTATGATCATATTACATGATGAGGGTACATCGATAACTAAGTATCTTAACTTGACCTGTT